TCACAGAATTCCAGGATGAAGTCATTCCGTGTTTACCCCGAGGAGTTACATAGAGAACACGACCCGCCTTCCCAAGACGCTCGATAGAGACAGACTCACCCTGAACAGGACCCAGAGGACCTGTGGACAGTAGGAGGACCTGAAGGGACAGGGACCGAGGTTTTGCAGTAACAGGGCAGCCAGGGCGCTGGGGGAGCTGGGCACGTGCAGGGCACCAGTTGGACAAGGAGGAAGGGCCAGCACACGGGGGGCCCTGAGGGCAGCTGGGGAGTTGGGGGTGGAGGGGAGGAGCAGGGGGACGCACTGCGGGTTCTGGGCCGGGGGGACCTGCCTGAGCAGAAGGGACCAGGCTCTAGTGTCTGAGGAGAGAGCGCCCAGGGACGCGGTTTCCTGGTCACTGGCACCGACCAGCATCCGCGTGAGCCTCAGTGTGGGGACCACGGGAGCATCTGCAGTTGAGGCCCAGGCGGATTCGGGCGCGGGGAGGAGGGGTGGCTTCTGCGCTCACTGCCCAGGTTTCCCCACATCCGCACACACAGCACAAGCCACGTTCAGCTTCTTCCCAAATGAGGAAACATGTCAGGAAATGCAGACGCGGTTTCAACATATAACACACGTTAGCACACCAAAGAGAAAATCCGTGCAAGACACAGGAGACACAGACCAGCAGAGCATACAGATGGAAGAATATAAAGTCAATTCCTGAAATTCAACAACTCCCACGTGCTGCGGCCTCCCCTGGTAAATGTGAAGCCGATGAAACTGCGTTATTTTTTAATGAATCACTAACTCCTATCAGGTGTGTATGAAACTGCAAATGCCTTACAGCAGGGGTCCTCAAACTTTAAACAGGGGGCCAGTTCACTGTCCCTCAGACCGTTGGAGGGCCGGACCATAGTTTAAAAAAAACTATGGACAAATTCCTATGCACACTGCATATATCTTATTTTGAAGTAAAAAAACAAAACGGGAACAAATACGACATTTGTATTTGCATGTGGCCCGCGGGCCATAGTTTGAGGACCCCTGGGTTACAGGGTTCAAATGCCTTCTTTGAATATGACCCTGAAGGTATTTCTGGAAAGTTCCTCTCTCCTTCATTGACCTGAACAGCCCCCAGGAGCTCATCACACCTGAGCAGCTCCCTCACCTGTGACGCTGGACAAGAGGCTCACTGTGCATTTATTTGTGCAGCATCTTTATTGGAAGAAAAAACATATTAATTTTCATTTGTGAATGTTTAAGCTCAATACACAGATGCAGACCTGAGAGTGAAATGCTACGGTGATCAATACAGAGAATCCAATCGCAGTATCTGGGCTCAGACCGTGGGTGTGGGAACAGGGACAGAGACCTGGGAGCCCACAGCCAGCTGGGCTGTCAGGGCTTTGGGGCAGGGGAGGGTGTGTCCTCCCACCAGCAGGGGGCGCTGTGGGACTGCCAGGTGATCAGCACACAGCTATTCAGTGAGACTTTCACACACAGGCCCCTGCACTGTGGGCTCCCTGCTGTCCTTGGTGGCCTGGCAGCGCCCCCAGAGCAGGCACCTGTGTGTGGTCTCAGCAGGTGCTTCCTCCCAGGGCCCCCAAGGAGTGAGCCCACCTCCATGCTCCTCAGTCTGGGGAGTGAGCTGAGCTCCAGCCCCAGGGCCCAGGGAGGGGCTGGGCAGTCCCTGGAGGGACCCCCATTTGCATGGCAGCCCCTCCTCTGGCAGAGGGTGGGGGAGAAAAGGAGGCCTGGGCAGCCCAGCCCCACTGTGGGCTCAGGGCTGTGAGCACCATGGCCTGGACTCCTCTGCTCCTCGCGCTCCTCTCTCACTGCACAGGTAGGGACAGGCCTGGGACCAGGCTTCTTCCATTCCTGCTTAGGCTCCTGGGAAACGTCCCCTGGTCCCTGTCCATCACTGACAAGTGTCTGTGTCTGCAGGGTCCCTCTCCCAGGTTGTGCTGACTCAGCCGCCCTCCCTCTCTGCATCTCTGGGAGCCTCAGCCAGACTCACCTGCACCCTGAGCAGTGGCTCCAATGTTGGCAGCTATGGCATAAGCTGGCACCAGAAGAAGCCAGGGAGCCCTCCCCAGTACCTGCTGTACTACCACACAGACTCAGATAAGGGCCAGGGCTCCGGGGTCCACAGCCGCTTCTCTGGATCCACAGACGCCTCGAACTCAGGCCTTCTGCACATCTCGGGCCTGCAGCCTGAAGACGAGGCTGACTATTACTGTGCCACATGGGACGGCAGCTATAAGACGCACAGTGGTCCAGACCCACAGGGAAGTGAGACAAAAACCTCCTCTCCGCTCTCCTGGCCTGACCTTGGCCCCTGCTGGCGGCTCCGCCCAGTTCTGGGTCAGCCGTGACTGTGCCGATAGGTGTCCATCCGGCACCGGGTGATTCTGGACCCGGGGTCCTGACAGGGTCACAGCTTTGACGTCAGGTCAGCGATTTCATTGATTTGTTGCTCATGGAATGTGCGCCATGTTCTCGTTCTCACAGGTAACATTCCTCAGGGATGAAGGTTCCCATGGAGACATTGGAGGAGGTTCAATCAGATTCATTCAGGCCAAGCTCAGATCCGAGCCGAGGAGTGACTGAGAGAGGATCCTGGTCCGAGGGCTCAAATATGAATTTTGCATTAAAACCAACCTGCTGCAATGAAGTGTGTTCTGTATAACAGCAGGGAACTATCAAAATGTAAAAATAACAACATCCCATCTGTAGCCACATGCATATGAGCTCCTTGAGGATACGTCTGGCTGTGGGATGGGATGATGGATGGGAGGCTGCTGGGCCTTAGCTCCGGGGCCAAAGGACCAGGGTGTCAGGTTGTGCCACCAAGTCCTGGGTCTCCCTTGTCCTCAGGATTAAACACGATCCAGGGACAGGTTCCCGGATGCTCATGCTCATGGGGGCAGCCCGCCAGCCCTGCCCCATGCCCTGCAGCGTGGACCCTGCCTGTGCACACGGGTCCCTGCAGCTCCCCTGCTCCTCCAGCTCCTCCAGGGACCGGGACCAGGTCAGACAGCCCAGGCCTAGTGCCCCGGCCCAGGCAGCAGCACTGGGGAGAAAGGCGTCATTTTCATCCATCAGCACCGGTGACATCTCAGCAACACTCTGCACCAATGACACAACCACATCCTCCGGACATGGGGGACCTCAGCCCGCCTGGCGGGGTCAGTTGTTGAGCGTCGACCTGTGAACCAGGATGTCAGGGTTGTATCCCGGGTCAGGGCGCACGCCCAGGTTGCAGGCTTGATCCCCAGGGCGGGGTGTGCAGGAGGCAGCCAGTCGATGATCCTCTGTCATCATTGATGTTTCTCTCTGTCTCTGCCTCTTCCTTCCTCTCTGGAAGCAATAAAAATATATGTAAAAAAACAAAAGAAATGTTGGTTCTCATTTTGATCTCCATGTCAACTACTGCAGAGGCCCCTATCACAGCTTGAGGATGAGGTTTAGCATCACTGACCAGCCCAACCCAGGGCCCCGCCCTCCTCCCAGCACAGCCCGGGGGTGTGAGTCCCCTTCCTGGGCTCCCAGTCTCTCCCCGGAGGTGCTGACTCCAGGTTGAATTATCATCATCATCATCGTTACATTTCAGAGGATTCTGTTCAGTGAGCACAAGAGAAATGAGTTGGCAGCTCCTCTCCTTGCCGTCTCCCACCCCCACCCCAGGAGGAGGTCACAGGTTCTGGCAGCTTCCCTGGGGGCAGGACAGACAGAGCAGAGCACAGCTGAGCCTCTGGAGGAGGAAGGTCACTGTCCTCACCCCAAGGTCAGGAGCGCCCTCTGCAGACTTGGGCGGGGAGGGCCTGTGGGACACTATGGTGCCTGCAGGCCCTGCTCTGAGGGGAGGGTCCATCCTGGAACCAGAAGGAAGATCTTCCGGGGCTTCCCCAGCGTTTCTCCAGGGGCCTGGACAGGAAGGCTGGTGTCTAAGTTCTCACGACATCCCATTGCTGTGTCTTAAAGGGCCAGACTGATTATCACACAAAATGACTCCAAACAGGCATTGGTGGTTTCCTGTGGCTTTTCCCCTCCATCGATCTACCACTGTCCCCCCGACACACGTATTCAATGTCTTCAGCTCTTCCTGTGGCCACTGCATGGGGACGATGAAGAGATTGTTCCCCCTAAACCCACACCCAGCTCATCACAAAGGGCCCAGCGCAGAAGGCACTGCATCATCAGCCAACACCCCCCATTCCCTGGACGGATGAGCGTGTCCACAGAGACAGACTGAATGAGTGACATGCGTGTCAGGAGCCCCTCCCGTCTGTGAAGAGGGAGGAGCCCAGGGCTGTGTCCCAGGCTCATGTCCCTTCTCAGTCCCCCAGCGCCCTCAGGACTCTCAGCACCATAACGTCTCCCCTGAAGGCGGGGGCCCAGCTGACTGTTTATGAACGTGTGAGGCCGCATTTCTAACCGCCTCCCAGACCAGCACCTCTCAGTCACGTCCGTGCTGGCACCTCCCAGGCTGGCCCAGGATGAGAAGCTGCAGTGAGCGCCAGTGTCTGTGCCAGTCAGACCAGGAAGTGGGCACAGGGACAGTGGCCTGGGAGCTGCAGACACCAGCTGGGCCCAGGGCTTTGGACCAGGGCGATGTAGTGTGTCCTGAGGCCAGCAGGGGGCGCTGTGGGATCGCCCAGTGGCCCCCACCCACCTGCTCACTAAGGCTTTCCACTCACAGGAGCCTGGACCTGGGGGCTGGGCCCTGTGCGCCCTGATGGGGACCAGCTGTGTCTTTGCTGGCAGCGCCCCCTGAGCAATAGCCTCTGTGCTGTCTCAGCAGGTGCTTCCTCCCAGGGCCCCCCAAGGGGTGAGCCCACCTCCATGCTCCTCAGTCTGGGGTGTGAGCTGAGCTCCAGCCCCAGGGCCCAGGGAGGGGCTGGGCAGTCCTTGGAGGGACCCCCATTTGCATGGCAGCCCCTCCCCTGGCAGAGGGTGGGGGAGAAAAGGAGGCCTGGGCAGCCCTGCCCCACTGTGGGCTCAGGGCTGTGAGCACCATGGCCTGGACGCCTCTGCTCCTCGCGCTCCTCTCTCACTGCACAGGTAGGGACAGGCCTGGGACCAGGCTTCTTCCCTTCCTGCTCAGTCTCCTGGGAAAGGTCCCCTGGTCCCTGCCCATCACTGACAAGTGTCTGTGTCTGCAGGGTCCCTCTCCCAGCCTGTGCTGACTCAGCCGCCCTCCCTCTCTGCATCTCCGGGAGCCACAGCCAGACTCACCTGCACCCTAAGAAGTGACATCAATGTTGGTGGATACAGGATAAACTGGCACCAGCAGAAGCCTGGGAGCCCTCTCCGGTACCTCCTGAACTACCACACTGACTCAGATAAGGGCCAAGGCTCCGGGGTCCCCAGCCGCTTCTCTGGATCCAAAGACGCCTCGGCCAATGCGGGGCTCCTGCTCATCTCGGGGCTGCAGCCTGAGGACGAGGCCGACTATTACTGTGCGATCTGGCACAATAATGCTCCCACAGTGACACACACTGATGGGGAAGTGGGACAAAAACCTAGGACTCCACCAGAGTCTTGGGTCCCAACATGTGACCTTGTTAACATAACTTCCATGTGCAAACTACACGGGGAAGGACCTTCTGGTTTATAAAGAGTCACTTTCCATGTTTGATCCCATGTCTCTGAGTCTCAGGAAAACAGATCCAACACCAAAACTCAGTGGTCATTATGTCCCTGAAAGGTGGCCTGTCCTCCATGGGTAAGAAGCCCAGGTCCCGTGCGATGGCTGTTTCTGACTTGAAATAAGGGAAGAGCTTTGTAAACGGTTCCCAGAGCCCAGGACCCTCCCAGCAGGCGGTCGAGCCGGAGCACAGACTCGGCGCCCAGAGGTCAGAGCAGTGACCCCTCAGTCCCTGGGCTCCTCGCCCAAGGCTCCTGCCCAGCCCTGTGCTCACGGACCAGGCTCTCAGCTGCGAGGGGCTGGGGAGCCTCGGGCCCGGGAGGAAGCCCAGGCACAGGGCTGGCCGTCACCTCTGCTGGGACCCTGACCTTCAGTGCCATTGGGGAGAGGGGCTGTCGGAAGGACATGGGTGGCCTGGGCCCAGGAACCCTCTTTGGGTCTCGACAGGGTGAGCGAGCTGGACGGTGGCTGGATGCTGAGCTGCTCCAGGAAGGATGCGGGCGCCTGGGTCTATGCGGGAGACGCTCTCACAGCTGACGCCACTCGGGCCCATGGGGCTCCCGTGAGTGGGGTTCCCTGAGCCACAGGCTCTGACTGTGTCCTCTCCTCTCACCCACCGGGGCTTTCCTACCCCCCAGGGTGTGGGTGGCTGTGGGCCATGGGGAGCAGAAGCTGTTGATGAGCCCAGATCTCAGGTCACCTTCTCCTGAACCTGGGTCAGCAGACACACTGACCGTTCCCATAGCAACGGTCCCCACAGCTCCCAGGCAGAGCACCTACGGGACCTTGTGACCTAGGACAGAGGAGATTGACAGTCCACAGCTCAGCTCTCTTCACTTGTTCTTCATTTGTGCACGTGGCTTCTTTTTTTAATACATATTTTTCATGTGTTTTTAAAAAATATATATTTTTTATTTAGAGAGGAAGGGAGAGGGAGAGAGAAATAGAAACATCAATGATGGGTCAATGATCGCCTTCCTCCTGCATGCCCCACACTGGGAATGGGGCCCGCAACCGGGACTTGTGCCCTGACCAGAACTTGAACTGTGACACCTGGTTTCTGGGTTCATGCTCAACCACTGAGCCCTACCAGCCAGGCTCACACGGCCTCTGTGACCACCCCTGGTCTCTGGCCTGAGGAGGAGGCTGCCAATCGCGGTCACGTGACTTATTAAACGTGCTCCCAGGAGGAGCTCCAGCTCTGGGCCGGGTGAGTAGGCACCTGCCCTCCTCTCCTGCAGGACCAGCTCACCCTGGACCCGATTGCAAAAATATGACTGACAGCCCTGGCCGGTTTTGCTCAGTGGATAGAGCCTCGGCCTCCTGACTGAAGGGTTCCAGGTTTGATTCTGGTCAAGGCACAGGCCCGGGTGAAGGCTCCATCCTCTGTAAGGGGCATTCAGGAGGCGCCGATCAATGATTCACTGTAATCACTGATGTTTCTATCTTCATCTCACTCTCTCAAATCAACAAAAATGTATTTTTATTTAAAAAAGGGAGAATGGCCGAAACCGGTTTGGCTCAGTGGATAGAGCGTCGGCCTGCGGACTGAAGGGTCCCGGGTTAGATTCTGGTCAAGGGCATGTACCTTGGTTGCGGGCACATCCCCAGTGGAGGGTGTGCAGGAGGCAGCTGATCGATGTTTCTCTCTCATCGATGTTTCTAACTCTCTATCTCTCTCCCTTCCTCTCTGTAAAATAAAAGGCAATAAAATATATTTTTTTTAAAAAAAGGGAGAATGAAAGGCACCCAGAGGCTCCTCATAGCATCTTCAAAATGTCCAGATTCTGTGTAAATTACCCCTCATTACGTCAAAAACCAGGAAGCTAAACACATGAAGGAGAAAAGAGAATCTACTGACACCAACACTGAGGTGACCCAGAGGAGGGATTCTGGGCGGATGTATGAGGACAGCGATCCCACAGTCCATGGAGGAGCAGCTACGAGCTTCATAGTCCAAAGGGAAGAAGAGACACCCAGGATTCAATAGACTCTGTGGACACAGCCCAAGGGCAATTATAGAACCAAAAACAAAACAGGGGGGAAGCTCTCTGCAGGGAGTCAGAAGGAGGAAATACCTGGTTTGTTGTTTTGTTTGAAGTGGCATCATTCCTTGTGTAGTTCCTGCCACCATGACTATTCCCTAGGGCGTCACCAGGGGGCGCTGTGGCTGTTCTCAGAGCTGCAAGGCCTGAAGCCATCTCACATGGTTCCAATTGAGTGGGCCCTGCGCCCATGCCCATGGCCTGGGTGTGAGGTGACAGCAGGTGCTTCCCCTCAAGGGACAGACTCAGAGCCCACAGCCTCCCCAGCCTCCTCCTCACAGTGAAGCTTCAAACTGGGCCCAGGACCCAGGACAGGAGGGTCCTGTGGGCGCACATTTGCATAATGACCAGCAAACACCCCCTGTGCCCAGGAGGCCGGGAGGAGATAAAGGGACACCCGAGACCAGCACCTGCAAGAGACTGAGGCACCTTGGAAAGTCTCCACCATGAGCTGGACTCCCCTCCTCCTCCTCCTCATCCTCGCTCTCTGCCCAGGTTCAGGGCCATTTCAGAGACCAGCCCGTGGAGGGGCCCCTCTGCCTTTATTCTTCATTCCTGATGTGTCTGCTTCTATTTCAGGGTCCAGGTCTCAGGCTGTGGTCACTCAGGAGCCCTCAGAGAGCGTGGTCCCAGGCGTGACGGTCACTCTCACCTGCAGCACTAACACTGGAGAGGTCACCAGCGGTCACTACCCGTACTGGATCCAGCAGAAGCCCGGCCAGGTCCCCAGGACACTCATTTATGACACAAACAAGAAACACTCCTGGACGCCGGCCCGGTTCTCAGGCTCCATCCAAGGGGGCAAAGCTGCCCTGACCCTCTCAGGGGCGCAGCCTGAGGACGAGGCCGAGTACTACTGTGCCCTGTGGTACAGCAGGCATCCCCACAGTGACAGGAGCGGGTGGGGAAGTGGGGCACAAACATAGGGCTCAGTGCACCCTCTGCTTTTGGGGCCCCGTCTGCTGTTCACGGGGCTGCGTCCAGCTGGGGTGGCTCTGTGGGTTGTTCTCCGAGTCCCCGGACCAGGCAATCGCATTAATTATTCTCAGCTGTGAGAGTCAATATAAGCAACAGTCTCACAGGAAATGGACAGGGGCAGCAAAAGGAAAAGTCACACTCACATTCACACTCACACACACAGTCAAGGGTGCATTTCACCTGCCCAGCATTTAATAATCAAGATAAAACTTAACAATATAGTAGAAATAACAATACAAATGGAGCCACTTTGAAATGCAGTTGGGGCCTCCTTCCCAGAAGAATTTCCTTCCCGTCTTCCCTTCACACTGTGTGAGGTTGGGGGGCAGGACCCTGTAGGGGGGTCACAGCACCGTGTCTTCCAAAACCCGGCCCCTCTGCCCCAGAGCAGGTTCCCACAGACTCTCTGAGGCCTGGGCGCGTGTCCCGCGGGCTCAGCTGTGAGGACAGAGTCAGGGACCGAGGCCCAAGCTGAGATCATGTCAGGGTTGGACGGAGCCTCCAGATGCTGGAAAGAGACAAGAGAGCACCTACCCGGGGCCTCCCTGGGAGGGCGGGCCTGCCAGCACCTTGACCTCAGACTAGAGCCCCACCCCTGACAGGGACCTTCTCCCTGGTTCTGAGGGGCTCAGTCTGTGGGCCTTTGTGGCAGCGTCTCCAGGACACAGCCCGTCAGGACAGTCCATCCTGCTCAGCCTGGGGGTGAGCTGAGCTGCAGCACCAGGGCTCCGGGGGCTGGGCAGTCCCTGGAGGGACCACATCTGCAGGGACGGCCCCTCCTCTGGCCGAGGGCGGGAGGGGAGGAGGCCTGGCAGCCCCAGCGCCTGGCCTGGGCCTGGGGACCCTCCTTGAGCTCGGCCACCTGCTCAGAGCAGGGATTTGCTCTTTCTCCCGAGAGGACATCACCAGGGACCTCTGAGCTCCCAGGAGCGGGAACTGGGCTCCATCCCCTGCTGACCCCGTCGCTGGGAGGTGTGGGTCCAGATCAGAGCGAACACAAATAGGAAGTTCCCCTAATGGGCCCCTGGGCCTCCCTCTGCCCCACCCTCCTCACTAGTGCATTTGGGTCTGGAAACCCAGCAGGGAAACCTGCAAGGTAGTTCCTGCCTCACCATGACCAGCTCTGACCCCTGACCTCCCCATTGTCCTGACACATTCAGGTCCAATAAAAGCCACAGCCACTCCCATCAGGCGGCAGTGACCTGAGGTCCAGTTCCCCCAGGAAAGTGAGAAGCAGCACCAACCCCACAGCCTGGCCTCCCTTTCCCAGAGGGAGGACCTGGGAGGCAGGCTCCTGGCTGCCATGGAGACGCTGCCCCCCTCTCCTTGGAGCTTCGGCCTCCCACACCTTCCTAAGGGGGGGACAGGCCTTGGGCCCCACACGTGACCTCTGAGTCCACACACCCCACCGTGCATCTCCTTCTGCTTTTATCCCCAAAAGTGCTCCCCCAGGTCCCCTTGAATCATTGCTTAGTGTCCCCCCCTCACAGGCCCTGGTCCCGGTGGTGCTGTCACTGTCCCTTCCCCTTCTGTGTCCAGGGAGCTGGCGTCACAGTGACTCAGTCAGACAATCAGACAACAGACTCTCCTATGGACAGAAAACAGACGAGTGGGAAATATTATATTCAATTTCCCTATGAATGAGGATGCCAGTTACTAGGTAAAGCTTGACCAAAAAGCATGTGCGAGAAACGCAATATGTATAATCTACTGGACAAAAGGGAAG